TTTTTTTTTGCTTGATTACGATCATCTATTCAGAAATTCTTGTTTCAGCTACGTTTCAACGAGCCAGACAGCTATTACATCTTCAATCACGTAGACATTACAATTGAATACCGTGATATGACTCAGGATCAGAACTTTTTAGATGGAGAACAGGTTCGTACTTTGTTTCATTGTTGAGGATTTTTATGTCGACTACGTTTTTTGGTTGTGTTAGTGACTAATACCAGAGTATTACATTTAGTTCAACGAGTTTAAGACTTAATCTAATTTTATTACTTTTCCTCTCATATTAACACGGTTGATGTTAGAATTACTCTGACCAAAGGCTGGGGGATGTATCAGTTAAATTTACTGCCCAAGTTCCCTTTGAAAGCTTTACTGTGAACGTTTTTTGTATCCGTGTTTAGCTGCTTTAGTGAGTTCTTTATGAAACGATTTTCACTCTCTCCTCTTCGATAACCACAGATCAGAACAGGGGTATATTTTTAGCTTCGGGAAATTTGGAAAATACTCAGAATTTTCTTCATGTGTAGTAAACCCAAGAAGCGCCCTATTGTGGAGGTCCGAACTGGCTCAGAGATGCTTTTTATGAGCGCGAATTTCGATTGCTCTCAAAATTTACTGGTACAGGAACCTGCTTTATTGTCTACACTCAATACATTACTCTCGTGGATGCTTTTTATAAACTCTTTTTCAAGAAATCCTGTCAACTTATCGGCTTTATTTGAGCAGGCTCATCTTCCTCATGATTGTTTGTTTGTCCTGAACTTAGGGAATGTGGGCAGCTACCTTTTTCGATTGACATATTTCTGAATCCCTACTTCTTGACTTACTTTTTATCATTGATTTGAAATTATTTAATCTACTTATCTGGATCTTTAATTCAATCTGATCCTTTGGGCCAACTTATTCAAAAAAAAAGGCAAGAAATGGAGACAGCATCATGGACATGTTCCTTCGAGAATGCTATATTATGATGTAGTGCTTTTTACAAAATCATAATCTCAATTTCCATTTGCGTTTTTTCACATTAAACCCGAATAACGTCGATTTTGTCATTACTCAATGGAATTGCTTGTTTAAGGTTGGCGGTCGAATCATTCACATCTTGGTGAAGCCACGTTCCATCAAACATGCGAGCCTTGACAAGCTGGATTGCTCTGAAGGAGCTCCACCTTTAGCTATCAAGGCATCAGAAACCAAGACTGAAATTATTTACACATACAAAGTTGATTGGGTGGTACGTTACGAGTTTGCTTTTTGGACGCGTCTTCGTCTTTATTTATGTCCTGGCATTTAGCCAACAGACGTGAAATGGTCATCACGATGGGATTACATCTTGGACTCAATCCCTCATTCCAACATTCAATGGTTTTCGATCATGAATTCCCTTGTAATTGTTCTGTTCTTATCTGGAATGGTAAGCTTTTGCCTGTTCCCAAGTAGTACCAGTTACAAAATAGTTGTTATCAGCTATTCTCGAATGTTTAGGTGGGCATGATCCTTATGCGAACGCTTCATCGCGATATTGCGAGATACAATCAACTCGATAATGAGGTATATTTATTGTTTATACTTTCGAAATTTCTTTTTTTTTTAACGATCCGCTCAACGACGTTCATACTATCGCTACCTTGACAGGAAGATGCTCAAGAGGAATTCGGATGGAAGTTAGTTCATGGAGATGTATTCCGACCGCCAAGGAATGCCATGATGTTGTCCGTATTTATTGGAGCTGGATGTCAGACATTACTCATGGTGTCCATCACACTTGGTCTGTTTACTTTACAAAGTTTTGAACTCTT